ATTAATTATATAACAATGCCACGCCTTCCACCAGTTTCAAGGTAAGGCGTGCATCGGCTGATTACAACTGTAATAGCTCTATGTTACTTTGACAAAAACAACTTAGGGCTCAATTTGTCGGCGTCAAAACGTCTACACACGCATTTCCTTTTTCGTTAAAGTAGGAAACTCGTGCCTTTAATTTGCTTAGTCTTGCAATTTTCCTGTGTCTCAATTTTAGTCGCGTTTGAAGAAGAAAAGAAGCTCTCAGAATCTAGCTTTGTAATGCTAAGAATKTTTCATTTCTTTAGTTACATCAACATTGTCTTCGGTTTGAAACCTGTGGTCAGCTTCAGAGAGAACSTAACATYACTGTAGAATATGACGTTGGTTCAATAAAATGCTCAGTAATTTCCTGACATAGTAGCGAGGCATGCCAAATAACTTGAGCAACACAAGGCCACGCGTGCCTGAATATTCCAAATTTGGTGGAATTAGTGAAGCGATGATCAGCGTTTTATTGTACAGTCTCACGTGTGTGTCTCAAACTGAAGATATTTTCGGTGCGTCCACGTGCCAAGCATGGTACACATTCAGTGAAGCTTACATTGGGATGATTTTTGAGTCCTTATTTGAAGGAAGACTGATGTCATCATTCTGAAATCTGATGAAGGAATGACTTTRTTAAAACTTTATTAAACTTTAAGACTAAAAGTATAGTTCTATTTGAGAATAAATATGCGGTCTTTTTAATGAAGTTTATGTCTTAATCATTCGCTGAATCATCCAAAAGCTCCAGTTCTTGTGCAGCGCTCAGAACAATCATTTTCAATAATCAAAATTGTTTTTACTGAGTCCATCTGATGCTTGGACTGTCTTTGCTTTGGAGTTTRGGAATTCGATTTATCTTTTTTGCTGTGCAGTACAGCTTGCAATGTGATAAAACGTGTAGAAAAAGAGTTAATTGATGTTTATATAGTTGTATATTACGTCCATGCACCTGTACCATTTGATCATTGGGATAGATATATAACCAGCTGGGAACTTGTTTTGATACAATTGCATCAAGTGCTTAATGGTCAGCCGCAGACGTCTGTATTCTCTGAGCAATCGATCTCTAATCAAATACGGGATAATTATGAATACTAGTGATGGACCGAATAGGAATAGCAGAAATAATTCTCACCCATAATGCAAACACAGGACCTCAAAATGAAACAACCTTGACACTCATTMACTCGATTGTCAAAGCAATCCACACAGTAGGAATTTTGTTTATTTGAAAAAAAAAAACAATCATTGATAGATCTATATGGGGGTCTTATTATTGACATGGGTCATAATTGTGCCAGAACGCACGGTTTTATATGAAATGCGACACGATGTCTGGGTAGTTAGCGTACCTTCCATGSTTGAGTAGCTATAATAATCAACGTTCAATCACACTGCTCATCTTGTTATCACTCGGCCTCACGAACGATTACTCTTTGTAAATTTTAATAACAATAGAAACTACTTGTGGTTGGTATTCAACAATCTTATATGAGCAACACAGAAATGCTTTAATGCARCCACTAAGTTACTAAGGTTGCCACCGTGATGACTTTCAGCAAAGAATCGTCATAGTAAGTCATTTCCTGTATAAGGTTTGTAAATCCTTGTTTACAAACCAAGGCATTCTTTAAATAGTTGACACACGACTTCGCATAATTAATTTTCGGATTGAGCCAAGGACATTGGCCATTGGCACTGGTCTATGCTTCCTTATTGTTTGCCTTGTCTGACCACCTAGAGACAATCGAACATCATCATCAACATCTATTGGGATGCCATAATCGATCGCTGTGATAACCAAATCCAGCTGAAAGAATTGCCTCGAAATGAAAACTCATACTCTACTCATAGCACTGTCAATCGTATTTGCCATTCTGGCATGTTATACCCAAGAAAGCAATGCCGTTGTTTTTATTCTAAGTCGTGGTAGAATCCGTGGAGCCAGTGTGGTCAAAAGAGGTTCGGCCGTCAAAAGAAAAAAGCGTTTGATGAAACGACTGCGAAGGAAGAAAAAACAYCATAAACGATCCCAAATGTATCGTGATATTCGACGGTGGCTTAAACGCTACAAACAAAAGGTACSAACAACCACAGGCGAGAATTTCACACATTTTTATTAGCTTTGTAAATTTTGTGTACTTGACGAAAGAAGGTGCAAAGTTAACCAAAAACAACAAGAGATTGTGATGATAAAAGCGCCATTATAATGACTTCGCTCTCTGAACCACATGCATAGATTTCAATGAGACAAACATTGTTTATTGATCATTAATGAACTTATCCGAAATCTCCTTGTTTGACTGTTTTCAAACCGTTTAACAGCTAATTCACTAMCGATWATGTCACTTGCTCATGATACTTTCTGATTCTTTGCACAATGTCTTCATAAAAATTCAAAGCTGACAGTCATTCAAGCAAATAATTTCATAAACAAAAAGTTTGAAAACTTTCTGATCCGATTTTGCACCTTGATTAAAGTCAATTAAAGTTTGCCTGTCCGTCAAATAATGCTATATTATCAGTAGTTTAGATTTAATCCCTTCTTATTGCCCATAGCTAAACATGACCTGCTCGCTTGTGTAAGTTATGCTCTGTTATCGTGTACGTAGCTAGAATGAGCAGTTCTAGTTTTTAAGATCATAGTTGATAGTTCTTCTCAAATTGCATCCTTTCTTCCTCGAGAGCTATAGCTATAACCATGTAGTTTGCCTGCTGCAAAACACGTTGTTTCAGGCAAATGATATTTTAAAAATACTCCATGCCATAATGATGATCTAAGAACCTAATTTTTGTACTACATGTATCAATAAAATGGATTAAGYGATTTTCCGCGAATGGTTATCGACTCATCCGATTTATCGAGTGCTGTAGGATATATATTAGTTTTGAACTAATCCTTGGAAAATTTGATAAACCTACAGGTATCTTTTGAATACAGAATGATATAGCGCTTTGTCATTCCGATTTTCTTATCTGTTACAAAACGATGCTACGCAACTCACCAGTGATGAACTAACAAGTATCATGACTCTATCCACTCAGGAACTGAGCAATGACTTTTATTTTATTAATTTGTGAACAGAGACGATTTTCCATATCCAGTAGACACTAGCTATACTAGCACTGATTACAAATGTACTTCCTATTCGATTAAACACAGTTCATTAGTGGAGAGCATCACATCAAGTATTCTAAGATGATAATGAGTTTCTAGAGATCAGTCACGGAAAACTGACAGATCCCAATTTCGATCGGTGATAAGATTTGATGGACAAGTAGAACACGGCGTTGCTGAAAAAAAGATTAATTCGGAGAGGCGCAAATATTGAAAATATTAGAGTGTTTCAAATGATCGCTTTCAATGATCGGTTGCGTGGTTTAGACTTATAGTTTATTGATCATCAAGACTTCTCAGCAGACGATGCTAAACCAAACGGAATACGGTCTTATTTTTCTGGTATTCCAATTCTGAGTGATCGGGCATTTTCTTTTCAATCAAGCTTGCGTAATGYTATGTTCCTTGATTTGATAAGCTATACCATGATAATACTTGATGTCTGCATCTGATGATATTTTCCTGTTTGAAGCCCGTCGTGTTTTGCTGAGTCAGAAAGACGTATAAGAATAAACCCTCACTTCAACATTATCATCGGTGCAGCTCCCGAAACAGCTTAAGGACCCAGCTTAATTTACAGCGTTACAAAACCAACAAGGTCTATTTAAAGTATCAATATTAAAATGTGGAACTTGAACGACATTGATCACTGAGTTTGAATTGGCAGATAACGAACTTGCAAATAAAATCTAATCAACATCTTCGAGCCAAAGACTATTCGATTTTTCCATGTACGCGTAGTACGATAAAGCTAGCTCTCTTATATTGAAATGTAGATATTACTGTGGATCTAAGGTATGAGTTTGGTTTATTGTGCACGGATTTGGACTGTTAAACTGACGCTCTGACGTAGTAATAAAGAGAAGAGTTTAGAACAACGTTAGAACTTCTCATAGTTTGCCATTTATTTTGAATTTTATCAAATTGCGCAAGTTTTGTTTTATGTAAAGAGTGTATCAATAAGAGGACATACAAAGAAAAATTGTGTTGCAATTTGTTTTTTACCTAAAAATTAGCGAAAACCATTMTTTTCTATCAAATGAGCGCGCGCGAGAGACGTAATTGTGTCAGCACAGTGAGCATGTCCTCTTATTGACACACCCTTATCATCCAATTAGCGCGCGAGAATTTACACAAGTGTGATAAAACAATTATTTGYTTGCGCTACGGTATTCACGGGAARGAGGGTACACCTCCTAAGGTGGTAGAAGTGCGGCAGTCATTTTAGGGTTGGAAATAGAACCAACATATACYTTAGGGTCTCAAATTTTACCTTTACTTTAGGTTGAGTTTGTTAACATTTCATGCACTTGATCAGAGTCTGAAATCAACTCCCAATCCCAACTGGTTTATGCGCACTTTTTGGGGGTCAATTTTACACCGGACCATCGAGCGCGCGTCTCATCAGTAAACTTCTGGTTGGTGTGGTACGTACAAATTGTGTGTGTTTTTAAAGTATTTTTATTTTTATCCCAGAGGAAGTGGTTAAGAAGAATGCTGAGAAAAAATGGCGGGAAAAAAAAGTCCAAAACATGATGAAGAGATTCCAAGCATTGCTGTCAACATCAAAACCAACAGCTTTGTAAGAAACAAAAACAACTTAGCAAAGAAGAAACCATCATACTTAGCCGCGATAACAAGACACATTTACTAGCTATATTCCAGAACACATGGGATGTAATTACTATAAGCCATCACATGGAATGGGGATTGTCACAGGTCCTATTATTGAATAGCAGAAGCTTCAAAAACCAGCACTAGCCTGGGTGTGAATCAAATATACAGAGACCTTTTTTTTCAAAAAACTCTAGACAGCAAACACACCGACAATGCAACAGCGTATTTATAGTAAAGTTAGAAAGAAACTTAKTTTTATTTACATTATTATAACATAATCAACGTAGAAAATGAAACGCGATAAGAGCAGATGACAATAATGAAAAACTACATAAGATGAAACTAGCCGCAGGACATATATAGAACTCGGCGTTTGAAATAGGAACTATTAGGAAAAGGCAAGAGTAGTTTACTTGACTAAACTTTTCCTCAAGATAAACGGATCGGATCACCTGAGCTAACCAAGTAATTCGACGSTAYGATCGCAGGTAGATAGTGTATATAATTGYGAAAACGCGTCCAGTCCTGTAAGATAAAAAGTGAAAATCAAAACAAATATATGTTATAAGCTGATGATTAAGATGAAATTTTCAAAAAAGAAGTCTGAGGAATATGACTATTTCAGAAAACTGGGTACAAATATACAGTATATAGTATTTCAATTATGGCCTTTGTGTGTGTTGTCTAAGCGCTGTTCCACAGGAGTTTTCATTAATTCAGAGGGACTATACCACCCCCTACAGTCAGAAACTTCTAGGGAAAGCAAGTTTAGAATTTTCGTTAACAACACAGCTAGCGTAGAGCTTCAAAGTAACAATGCATTGCGGTCTTGTATGTACGGTGTACAAAGTACGTTTTCTGAAATATMTGTGACACAGATATGCGAGTACGTGTTTAAGCAGCCATATCAAAGTGCGATAAATTTTTATGCATCGTTGTGTCAGACKTAACTAGTGCCGTAGTCCTCATACTTCTTRAGAAGGTATACTGTTATTATTAGTACAGAGTGTCGACAATGGAATTGTTTAAGATCTCCATGTATGCTTATAAGTGAGACTAACTATAACCATTATAGTGCATAATTGTTAATGCTTTGATTATATAAAGCGCGCATGCCAATAATCCTTATAGGATAGTAATGTAACAAATATCAATGTTTTAAAACTAAGGTTTATTACGCTCATTAAAGATTGTCATTAATATGATGATGCGTGTAGTAATTAAATGGTTTTATCACAATAGTCTATAAAATACCTATATTTTTCTGGCTTCCAAAAGTTGTTATATTCGAAAGTGATAATAACACATTCGAGGTTTCTCTATATACTGGAAGTACAAAAGTAATTTTACGACATAATTTGCATTCANTAGGTGCAATATGATCGAAAATTCTTGTGGAAGACTGGTCTACCTAGTTACCTGACGTTCCGCATCATGTGTTTAATGTCACTTAAGACTTCTTACACCTACGTCGTTTTCGCCTGGGTTTAGTCCAGTCCTGTCCTCCTTTCGAACTGGCTCCAGGACTCGCGGGAAAAGAGAGTCTAGTATAACTTGATTGGGTATGTCAGCTTTGTAAAATCGCGATTAGCTCATTTGAAAATTCAAGCGGTTGCATGCAGTCGCATGTGCATGCAAGTTTACTGGAATCTCTTTCCCCGCGAGACCAGAGCGCGTCGAAAGGAGCCGGGCCAGGACTACTCACAATGGCCACAGGTAGCCCAAACGCATATTAATTCCTTAACGCAACGGGCGGACTTTTAAAAAGAGCCACATCGTTGCATGTCGATAGTGAAAACCTTTTAATGTTGATGGTAAACAACACAAATTGCACACTAATTGCTTCTAAAATAAGAACGTGAGCAACGAGTAGTGATTGTTCGACCGCATTTGTTTTCAAACAAACTATGGATTCGAACYGAATTTATGAAGGACCTTATTTAAGGTATAGTGTTAACGCATAATCAAAAATAATAATAATCAAAACCAGTAATAAGTGTTGTAATACGCTGGTGTGTGTTTCATGGGATTTGAAAACCACTCCGTCTTTAATTGATACTAAAAAGGAAGACAAAGAATGGTCCGGTTTAATCAGATATGCAGTTACGGCCCTGTAAAGAAATGTTAATTTCGAACTGCATTTGTTATATGTTGCCCGCCATATAGCCATCATAATGTGTGACTACTAATGTTATTAGGTTACCTTTGAAAATAATAACATTACTTAGATCATTAGGTTCTACATATACAATTTTATTGTCTGCTGTAGCTTGTAACATTGATTGAATGATTGTTGTAGATTTTTTAATGAAGGTTGCCAATGGCATCCTGCTCGAATAGTTCCGTTAACGTTCTCTTCCTATTCCCATTCACTTTGTGCACTTGAAAAATATTTACAACGTCTTTTAGCAGTCTTTCATTGAACTAAAGCAGCTACATTAGTTGAACGTTCCATGATTCCTATGTCTTCCAAAATTCAGGCAATACCGTTCTTCAGGACTATTCACACTTTCTCTTTACAACTGAAATAACATAACAATAAATAAAAACATAAATCAATTAATCCGGTTTTCCTCCCTCAGTAAAAATCGTCAACATGTGAGGAGTGTTGTGTGCTAAAATACTTAATGTAGAGGTAGTGAGTGTGAGAGTACAGGGTCCGCAATAATTGGCTCACGCTGTTACGGTGTCCCTGCCCATACTAGTGGCAAATGTAAATAAAAAATTAAAAATTAATCAGTCAATCAGGCAGTCAATCATTGATTCAATCAATCAAATAATTGCAATTGCTAATAATAGATTCAAAATCACATTTTTATTTCTTATAATGTGCACCACATAATCACGAAGCACCACTTCCCTATCTGCATCATCCTAGATGACAACGTCCTTTCTGCACTAATGAAATTTATGGAATATGTGAAAACAAACTTTTGCGTTTGAAAACAAATCATGAACGGCGAGGAAATGCTGCATTCTTTTCAGCGCTGGACTTACAATGAGCGGTACCTAATGAGTTAGCTTACTGGCTTCATTAGCGCGTCGTGTTGAGATTACATAAGGAAAAATACTTGCGCGCTTGTCAGATAGACTAATTGCGTAGTCTTGCCGCGAGGCCGGACGTTCAAAAATAACATCACCGAACAACARAGCTAAGCCTTTGTCATATGAACTATTCTCAACTAATTGATTTTTAAGGATATTTCAGATAAATTCCTTAATAAGATTAAGGTGGCTAGAGCCGATTACCATAAATCTATCCTTATTAGGAATAACCATGCGTGGCTTGGATTCTCAGCTACGGCTTATTTTTATAGTCTAGCTGGTGATCAACTCTTAATCCGACGATGTTTAAAATTGGAATTTAGCTTTGGGCTTCCTGTTCGTACACAGGAACCCCACGATCGTTTCCCTTTGATTCGAGACGCTAGTTTTCCTCTCGTTGACATGGATAAAGAGAAGGGGTTGGAGCATGGTGCTAGGGTTTTAATGGGGCGAAGGTTTAGTAAATTGTGCTGCATGACACCTTTTAAAAAATAATACAGCATTACAATTTCAACTAATCTTTTATATTMCAACACAGCACCACTTAGTATTGAAACTGTAGAACGATTGATTAATTAAAGATAGCATTTTCCAAATCGTTCAGTGTAAATTTCAGCGTCCCGTGTAACCAATGACAATAAATATTTAATAGTTCCTGTTAAAGAATATATATAATACTCTCACGTTTGTAGTACCGCCATTTGAGTGTACTTTAAAGGGTTATACGGGATAATCTGAAGTAGATTAAAACTGTCTGTATATGAATACTGGTGTGTCTGCAATAGCCGTCCAGACTTGAAACACATTGAAATTTGAACTTTCTTTTTTTTTCTATTTTTTTTTGTTACTAAAAAAAAAAATTCCTGACAAAACTACCAAAATGTTTATGCAATTGAAAGTTACATTTTGAAGATCCATGCTGGTAGAATTTACTTTTTTGATGGCATAAAGTTTCCATTTCATAAAAAATTGAATAACTTGCATAAACATAAACGAATGCTCTATTGAAACAAGTGCGCGGTACTGACTAKTTTCGTTTTACCGCGCAAAGATTTGCAAAACACGCTGCAATGCACTTCAGTCTAACGAAAGAGAAATATGCCCCTTCAGCGTCTTAGGGACCGAAATGTACTAATTCATTTTCAAATTTTCAGTCCTTTCTTTGAAAATAAGCCTCTAAAATAGTCAGTTGAGTTAGTTGCTTTATGTATGCATTCATGGTATCAATTGTAATATTTGTCACTGTGTTTTTCGTCATAGTCTTCAACAATTCTCCCTCGTGAAATCCCAACCAAAATCACGTTATTTTGTTTGTGTTTTAGTAAAATGGAGAAAAAAACTTAGTTCTACCTACCTTTTTATAAACTCATCTAACAGGAACTCTAAAATCCTTTTTAATCTTCTTAGGCTTTAGTTTTGGATTTATCGGTAAGACTTTGTTTTTTAATTGTTGTTTTCTGTTACTRTTTGGTCTTTTCTTTCGCTGYCTAATCCCATGATGCAAYACAATGAAACCTTGAACATCGAAGGATATTTCCACAAGGACTAGAAGCACCARGAATAGTGCCTTCTTAGAGATTCTCGATCCTGCACACATTTTCCTGACGTCTAGTTTAAAACCAACGCAGGTTGAGCGTTTTATAGCWTTAAGGGGGTGYWATGACTTGACAATTGACATACATACCCTCTAGGGTGTCTGTGGTGCACCGCAAAACCAATTAAGGAAGCTAGTGTCGTCATTGATGACTTTGTAAATTGCAGAAATAGTTTGTTCAAGGACATTTGCGACAACGATAAATGAGACTCGTAGYGACATTACTTTTATATATAGTGAGATCTCTAAGTACTGATCAGGTTGCCTAACAGAAAGCTTCAAGTGGTAGCTATTAGTTTGGTTGTTACCAGAACATTTCGCTTGGTAAWATTTTTGATCCAATTCAATGGTTCAACCCATTCCGTCAGCACGTGGGCACATTAAAAGTCATCACTGACACTTAAAAGTGCGAACAATGCTAACGATGATCTGCTAAGAAGAGTCTAATCCAAGTAGATCAAACGATAGCGGCTCTTGCCATCTCATTCCTTTCTTCCGTGTTGTTATTCACCTTGACATAAAGACCTCTACTGGCCGTGCTATAACTTGTGTAAATATACCTATTAATCATTCACTTTTATGTGCTTTGATCGGTCATTTCACGCATTTCGACACACTTGCAAAGGAGAAAATCAATTCCATAAGGTTAAAGTTTTAACAGATGAATAATTTCGTGATTTGAATCGAGTATTGAATGTGAGAGATAATATGTAATAAACTCGTTTATTGTACTTCTCCAAGTTGCTTTGTCTTTAACCACAATCCAAAAGTGGCATTCCTTTCATTTATTATGGCTGAGGYGATTTCCTAATGTCTTTGCTGACACAGCGCATGTCATCGCCTTAGCGTAGTCCTTTCTTTCCACTCCAGCAGGAAAAATACATCGATTTTCCATGCAAACTCTGCAAAGATACTGTTGAAAATTGAAATCCATTTGAGAATTCTTGTGGTGAACATGTGAAATCTGTGTAAAGTACGATAGATATAGTTATCACGAGTTATATTTTCTAGCTCAGAATACACAGTACTCATAGTTTTACTCATTTCTAAAGGATCTGAGCCTCTTCTGCACTGTCCRGCCTTTACTCAAATATAGTTTTTTTTTCAGTGATCTTTTATCATTTCACTATCTTATTATCACGGTTGGTTTTAACAGTCTTCCTTCATTCACTCGCATCCCTAGGCTCGCCTTTAAGGGCCAATTAAGAACTTCATGTACGGCTTCATTTATTAAAAAACCTCTTCATCAGTTCTTGACTAAATTTACGTCTGTTGTAATTCTTTTGTTATTTTTGTAATCAAATGCAGGTTTCAAGGCATCATTTTGTATAAATTATCGTCAATGGAGTTTTAATGATGTGCAAAGTTAGTCATAAAATGCTGTCACAGCAGTTCAAGGGAATACTTCTCTAATAATTTGGCCTTTCACCTATCATTTCTTAACTAGTCTACTGCCGCTCGCAAGTGCGCGCTACTCACAGCTTTYAATGATTCAATCGCCTTCTATTCTAAGTTTTGGTCATCCCAATCACACCCACCCTACTTCGACAACTTTCTTTAGCTGTGAAATTAAATATAGCATGAAAGAAAATATCATGACGGAAGTAGCCATGGRAATTCTTAAGGGGGAAGGGGGGAGAAAGGGAGGGGGAGGGGGGTTTGTTTAACCAACTTTTTATAACAGTCTAGATTTTGTTCTTTTATTGAACAGTAATGTATTTAGAGACATCTGACTCCTGAATTGTCTGTTTTATTCAAGTAATGATGAATTCCTTTCTCAGCATATTGCTTTAACAATGAATTGTTGTGCTTCATATACTTGACGAGAAGAAGACAGCCGGAACTTCAGCAACAATTGCRATGTGAGAGAGTATAATAGTGTATACAGGCGTTCAGGAAAGCAAGAATGCCTTTTATCGTATTTTTGTTCGTTTAAAAATAGTCTGTAATCTATAAATATCAGTATATTAAGGCTGCAAATGATGCCACTTGACTATAAATTGTACTTAATAYACGTATCTAAGAACATTAGACGCATTTAGCTATAKGYTCATGTAAATATGTAGTGTACGATSGATGATGATAGCAGATGTTTTCTAGTGTTCTCACCAGGAGAGCGTCTGGCTGCAAATCAACAAGCACATTGAACCAATTCAAYGTTGTTTACGTGGGCTTATTTTGGTCACCAATGGGTTCTTAAGGGTTAATAACAACGTTCCGGAACCACTGTTAAGTGTCGTTTAATTGATTCAAGCGTTGGTTAAAATGCTTGTTATGCTGAACTTGCTATAAATTCAGACAGCGATTGAAATATCGTTAGCTGTTTCCTGGAGCAGTAGGGGTCCATTAAGAACGATCACGAACGCTTAGAACTTCTGGCCTTTTAACTGAGAAATGTCAATCATTCACATTACATCGCTGTTGTTGTTGTTGCTGCTGTTATAGTGCAGGCCTGTTCCTTGTTCAAATAAGGAATTACGCATGCTTTACCCCATATATGGTGAAGRTAAGAGRTAATTGTATCAGTGGAGTTGAGCTATATCCTAAAAACGCCACATTCTTARAGGCTACTGGTTTGTGAGCCAAGTATATTTTGAACAACAAAAAACTGGTTCTTTTTCTTACAAGGATAAAGAGATTGAAGTACCTCATCTTAAAACATCTTTAAAGGCAAGCTACCAAACTCTTCAAGCTAGAWCTATCTTTATATTTTGTTCGGGATGAATTCAATCTATCATGGTAAGTTTTTAGTCTCGTAGCGGTTAAGCCTCGACTCAGTGTCACGCCTTTTGTCTGCGTTTGGAATTGTTGTAGTTTTCCGGCAACTAGGCTTAAACTGCCTACGCAAACGAGAAATTATGGTAACAGGCGTTTGCATTTCTAGAGCAGGATGTACATAAATCCTTTCGACCCGGAACATCCCCTTCTCAACCAATACTATATCCGCTTTTGAAAGCATATTGTCTTACATTTTGTTCTTTCAATAAAGGATGTTGTAAGAAAAGAAAAATTCTGGTTCAAGGTTGCCCAAAACAATAATAATAATAATAATAATAAGAAATGCTTATATAGCGCACTATACATAGTCTCAGTGCGCTTTACAAATATATATAAATAAATACATACATAAAAATTAGAAATTAGAAAAACATATCACAATATTAAAAAAAAACAAAAAATTCATAACAAGATGATCAAAGAGCTAGTTATTAAGCACACACCCATACACTTCTCAAAAGATATAAATACAATAAACCAAGCGTTAATCATATATAATAGATTCCTTTTTTTTCAAATATTGGTCCGGATATCAATACGCAGAGCATTGTGGCCGCAGCATAAATTTGCGGGTAATTTGTAACTTTTCGCAGGCAGTAAAAACCGGGTTCCCAAGTATCCACTTTTTTTCAGTCGCAGACAGATAACAGGAAAAACAAAAACATCTTAGTGAGCTCCTACTAGAGCTTCAGTTTTCGCGCAATAAGAACATAATTCAAAGGGTATAAAACGGTCACGAATTGCTTCATAGTTCCAAAAAGGAGTACAATGTTAGTTCCTAAAAAGACCAACAAAATAACAGCCATTAATTTATGTCTTCATTTTAATAAATGCCAATTTTATAATAATTATGATGTATATCTAGTAAATAAATAGAGGATRTYACATGGRMGCGCAGGGATACGGATTTTATCTTCGAGTGTTGAAAAGATTTTCAACATGAYAAGATAAAATTCGTATCTCCAAGCGACCATGTAATATTTTGTTTATCACATAATTACATATGAAAGCTGAAATTATGTCGTGTAAAATACCTTTTTTCTTACTTCCACTATATAGAGAAACMTCGAATGTGCTATTTTCACTAGTGAAAATATCAACTTTACGAAATGGAGAARCATAGGTATTTCATTGATAATTATATGWTRATATGATTTATCTTCGCTCTCATCATGAATATGTGCATAGATATATCATATACAACAATTCTGTCATTCTATCACATCGTCGGTTGCATCATGGGTAACATGTGATTTTTGTTCTTTTYTCGTTAAATAGATTGMGAATAAATCCAGCTCGTTGCCATTATGYCAATCTCGTTACCAAACCCTTGTCMCATCCCAAGTGAAGGGATAAGGGCMTGGACACGAGGTTGACATTAACCTTATTTAGAGCTATAYTTGCAGTATGATTTCAAATAAAGTAATTTTTGACTTTGACTGCGAGTATCCGCTAACTGATATTAGTATTTGTTTATCAAGTTATGTTTTAATTCCTTTATGAGTGTGACTGTGTCTAAATTTCATTATATGAAATAATATTTCTATATTCTATATATTTCTTTATATATTCTATATTTCTATATTTCTATATTCATTTCTATAACACTAATAATTATTGATTAAATTTGTCATTCAAAAGCTGAAAAAAAGACTATTTAAAGCCCAGCTTATCATGGCATATACTTGACTCTGCTTGRGTATTTTCCAAAATTACTATATCAGACATTTGTACCAAAAATAGTGTCATAAACCTATCTATTACGTAATCGTTGTAGGTAGCAAGTGGCATTTCTAACTGTTTAAAAAATAGGAGTACCCACATTACATTTCTGTACAATTCATATTTCAAATGTTAAGAAATGCTTTACAAATCTTGTACTGTCAATAAAATCTTTCATAGTTATAACACAGCGCTGATCGGCTTTTCAGCGTACGTGGAATTCCAATGCCAATGGCTTTGGTCGGTATTTCTTGTTTTTTCGAACCGAACTGGTCGATCGTTCTCAATTCCGCGTCTATTCGTTATTGCAGACGATTTAGAATTACGTCAGAAAAGCTTTTTCTGCATCTTTGTATTGATTTCTCCTGTGTTTGACTGCATCTTCACGCTGTCTTATATTGCGTCTTCGTAGCGAAGAGGCATAGCTTCCGATGAAGATTTCCTGCTCAGCTGTTCAGCGATTGTGCACAGCTAGTGTATCTGTCTGTAACTTGCTATTCTCCCCTGTTTCTATACCTTCGTCTCTGCAAAAAAAAAAGCAATTAGAATTACTCATTCTGGAATATTTAGTCTTATAAGTGCTTATAAGTAAGTATATCTATTGGTAAGCTGGTAATCGGAAAGATCTTCGAAAAAAAAATTCTTGCAGTTCTTGGAAGCGTTAAGCGCACAGCGGGCATTCGACTGTAATGAAYTCTCACGCAAATGAAATATTTTTAGTACGTAAATCACATTTTGTGACCTTTTCTAGTGTTTTTGTTTTCTTTAATAAGTCAATTCTAGTTTGTTTTATTTTTGTAAGCATTCTATTTTTGTAAGTTGTACAAGGAAAAAACATGAAAAAACTTGAAAAATGAATCATACCTTGATAAAAGCATGACAAATACAAATACAAATCTCAAAACTGTACTAGCTAAACATGTGTAAACATTCGTGTTTGGTTATAAGGAACTTTTATATCTATRAACACATATTATGCATACCTTTCTTTCGAACTTACGAAGCCATTTTTTGAAGAATTCTACTTTACTCTTGTAAGAATCAGTGGATTGTATTTCGTTACTCAGCCGATCTCTCATTTGCTGTAACTTCTTTTTCTTGTTTCTTCTTATAGTCAAAGTTGCTACATAACCCTGGCTCTCTTGYATTAGAATGGCTAATATAGCTGCTAAAAGCACTATTGAGATAAATGACCTGTTCATGTTGACTGTCGGACGTTACTAGTTGCTGTTAGCCTGACTGTGAGCTTAAATACACGTGCGTCATYGTTCATTTCACCATTGACATGAATGGAATGCTTCATCATGCGGAGTACGCAACATTGACCAATATCAGACTACACACTCTTATACAGTAAAGTTTTCTTAAGAGTAACATGCGTGTGTTTTGAAGGGGCCAATAGCAACCATTCTCAAGCGTTTTTAACCATTACTCATGAAAGCAGTTTACGTCACTCAACTCATTGAAAGAAACAAATCACATACCAAACATTCTTGYCCCAACTCTTTTGTTTTACAAAGAATTGAAGAACATTCTAGYGGGATTACTGTCACATGGATTGATGCRAAAGGGAAAACTGGATGAACACTTTATTTGCAGTGAGCTAACAAATAAAATGATATCATTTTAATTCTAATATGCTGTACTTACAACTGCGCGCTGTTTTCTAATGTTTCTAGGGTAAAAGGCACCCAGSTGGCAACATTGTTTGTACTCGTATGGAAACAGTTGATACCCCCTGCAAGGAACTAATTTCAACATACTTAGTACGAGAGCTGAAGATATTTTTAGCGAAGACCGCATGTTAATATGATATAGTTCTATGACATAGTTTACGCGATAAAAAACCACAAAGRCGCGAATATTATTATCTGTGCTAGCATGAAACTCGTACTGCCCATGGATCATCCCCATTGTTATCATATACACTACAATTGGTGTTGAAAAGATTAAATATTATAATGCAGGCATATTGTAGTGTCTAAAKCACTCAGTGGAACATTCTTGATAATCACAAAAGTTTTATTTTTATCCAGCAGTATCGCGATGTTTTCTGGAACCTTACGGAAAAGAGAAGGAAYATGCAAGCACAAAGTGTTATGTCATCGATTCCACTCGTCATTTASTAGTCCCGATGTGTTTGAATTCAAAGAGAGGAAGTCTTGTTTCTTTCATTTTCCTAGTTCGACTAAGATCATATACATAGAACTGTAACCTAACTGTAGGCTACCAATTCATTCACTGAATACACATATGAGAAATTGCGGCTCAAAAGGGGTCTTATTTGTAAATCTTACAACAGTTACATAATGCTGAGTTGTGGGTCTGAGTGGCCCCAAATAATTAGTGGTATGTACACTTGATATCTGGCTAAAGTGATTGAGGCAAAAAGCGTTTCTTGTGATGGATATTTTCAATAGTTGAGTTTCGCGATCTCTCTTCTACGTTGTGTTAGCCTCAATTGTGTGCAAAATATTCAGAAGTTTAAATAAACTCGTGAGATTTCAAACTATTTCCATTGTCTTCTACACTCACGGATCTCTTGCATTTGCACTGGCTGTTAGTGAATAAAAGAATTCATTACATGGTTTTGAGGCTAACACAGCGTAAAAGGGTCTATAGCCGTAAACCATGACTCCTCCGACCTTCTTACATAACTTATAGCATGGCAACTCTCTGTTCTTACGGGCTTCGTTTTGTATAAGGATCGTTGTGAGCAACAATCTTGGACATAAATGTTGAAAATTTTTACGCACGTACGACATTTCTCACACTCTACGTCGATAAAACCTTCTCGTGCCCGCCCCTTCCCTCAATACAATGTTGTGTGGCTTTCTTTTCATTGGTTGTCCATTCATTAACCCCTGCATGCAACATTGATGCGAGGGGAGGGAGGGAAGGGGAATATTTTCAGTTGATGCACACGATACAGTATCTGTAATTGCTCAAGCGAAAAATTGTCAAGTATTTATGTCCAAGACTGTAGAGTCACTGTATATGAACAAATTGTTATATACACAGGAAGCCCAAGAAAAGAAAGTCGCAAGGGATGAATCATACAAAGCAATGTAAACTCAGTCTTTTATTTTCTCTCTTTGTTTATTTTTTCGCCTCAACGTGGTGTCCTATCTTATAGTCCCGTATAATCACGAATAAATCACGAACTCGAACGGCTACAAAACAATCAAACCAAAAAGGGCTTGGCTTACAGCCTTACAAGCTACGTAATCACCGCCATGCTGGATGAAAATTACAAAGCATTTCTTATTAGTTTTTCTTGTTCATTCATCAAACATGGGGGCGATAGCTTTGTCCTTTATTTCTATTTCTTAGGGGATTCCTGGGCATATCCACAAATGCCATAGAGTTAGAGGTGAAAGCCAACATGGCGCATTTGGGATGTGAAGCTGCTGAAGAATAGGAAGACGAGGCAGGAAAATGAAAGCAATGC